CTTACCCCCCTAAAAAAATGACGGAAAAACGCGCATATAAGATTTTCTTAGACATGGTCAAAGTATGTGTATTGGTGTGTGCGTTGAGTGTAAGTGACATGCTTGGAATTTTGTGTAAAACCATGGGACTTGGTTCCTATACTCAATTAATGACTTAACAAGGTATTATTAATAGTAAAATTTAACCGAATTAATTAGCAAACAGGTTAATTAGACACAAAGTGATGACTCGAGCAATAAACCGAACTGTCGTCAAAACGACAGGACTGGCGCCTCTCTTTGCGGTGTAGCGCTAGACGACAGAATCGCCGCCAGGCGCCAAATTCCACAGAGTGGCGCTACAATTCAAACTTTGGCGCCATTGCTAGAGCGTCGATCTAAAACTGTTTTCGGTATTATTGATTAACAGGGGTATGCCTAAAGTCGTTAAGTCAACTCTGGTTAATATATAAGACTTTATTTACTCAAATTAATTAATTAATTAGGCAAAGTTCTTTTAGTCATCAATTAGTTTAATCTTAGAACAAGTCAAACAAACGGTTAGGAATAACACATAGAGTATGCACAACAAATAATGCACAATTAGTCAAGTAGGCACGATATGATGCAATGAGTTTGCAACCTAACCATGGCTCTAGTTCTCTAAAGTTTGGGATATGGGTTAGTCAATAGAGGGTCCATGGTTAAATGTCCGGATACACCGCGCGGAAGCCTAACCGTGAAGGGTTGGCGCGAGTGGATGGGACACCGCGAATTTAGAAAAATTCGCTTCCATGGTTTGGTGAATTCAACATTCTCGGATGTACCCTTTGTTGCTCAGAGTTTTCAATCAGGTAGATGGAGCATGAATTCCCACAGGGTTATGTCCATATGTAGAACACATATGGGTTTCAGAATAGTGAGAAAAACTCAACCAGTAAGTAAGATCGAGCGGACAATGCTAAAAACTGGTCGAAATTAAAACTTATATTTCTGGCTCGGTATTGGAAGAACTTGGCGCCAGCAAACAGAGGCTGGCGCCAGCTTTTGGCTTTAGCGCCTGGCGACAGAGGCTGTCGTCTGGCGTTAAAGTCAAAATACTGGCGCTGATCTTTGTTTGCTAACGCTAGTTCATACATGCCTCAGCAGCTTTCTGTGCTCGATAAATTTTCCAGTTTTGCGCAGTGTTATTTCGATCCTAGTTGTGAAAGATATTCCTCAAATTTCCTACGTGTAAAAATCCTATGTTTTAACTCATTACGGATGGTCTTTCCAATGAGATCTTTTATATGCATATGACAATAATGTTAATCAAAATTACGCTCATGGAATACTTAGAACTTTTCGAGTCTCATCCACTCATTCTAAATCATTGCCGAAATAAATTTCAGGAATTAAAATAGAAATCCTCCCCAGTGGAGTCGCCAAAAACTGTAGGGAATATTTCAAGTCGCATTACCCCTAACTTGAACCCCACTGTGATCATACACTAAAGTACGGTGGCGTCCAAAGGGAATGAAGATAGAGAAAAAGAGTCACCAACAAGTTTAAGGAACTTGTAAACCGTTCACGAGGTGAAGGTTACGCCCCTTAATGATCCAGGAGATCGTCAACTCCAATAGGTCTGGAACCATGACTGGTAGTTCGGGGATGAAGGTACAAATCCAACCTAAAAGAGATTGAACCTGCCCTAATAATAGGCCTCTACTTTATTCTGATCGTATTCATGTGCGCTTTCTGACTAACATGCAATCAATAGGTTAACCCTAAACCTGTTTATCTATGTTGGTTGAATTTAATGCACAAATAAATATATTATTGGTGATCACTTGAATTATAATCAAATTAACCCTAAACAAGATTATTAATTATCTTATTAAGCGTGATTACAAGTACCAATTCCCTTTAAACATGCATAAAAGGCGTAATCAAGCAATAACAATAAATATAATCAAGCAACATAATAATTAGAATAACAATTATAAAAATAATCATAATATTCATGTTAAAGCATAATAATAGCAAGATCTTAGGCATGATACTAACAAGATTAATAACAAACCCTAGCATGTCACTAAACAATAAAAATCAAAGCTTTAGCCCTAACATGATACTAACAACCATGAATATTAGGAAGAACATAAAAGGCATCATACTTGACATTAAAGTTACCCTAGACATGATACTAGGAAGATCCAAACGCCCTAACATAACACTAGGAATCATAACAACAACCTAAGCATGAATTCTATATAATAACATCAATAAAAACCATTAAAGTACTTACTTGGATGCCTCGTACCTCTTTCTAATAACAAAATACACGCGTTAGTAACTTCAAGGAAAATATAATAAAACAATTAAATTAAATAATTGAAAGAGAGATTTGGGACCAAACACTCAGAAATTAAAACCTTTCACATCTAGGGCGAAGGCAACTTCGAATTAGGCTAGGTGTATCTAGGTCTTGTGAGTGCGGAATTTTGTATTTTGAGAAAAGGCTAGTTTAGAAAAGAAAGAGAGAAATCAAGAATTTCTTGATGAGAACCGGTGAATATTCGTGAGAATTGGTGAATGAAAACGGAGTTTTTAGAAGGCTATTTATAGAGAAAATTAGCCAAAAAGATAGAAAATCGAAACAGAGTTCTGACGTGCAAAAACGAGGTTAGCGCCAGACGCTGACATTAGCGCCAGGCGCCAAGCTTAGCATCAGGCGCTAATGCTGGCGTTTGGCGCTGATTAAATTATTGATGCATTTTCTAAAATCAGATAGAAATTGACCGTACAGGAGGATAAAATCGTATTTTCCTCAAAAACATTCTTTTATTCTGATTAAAACTCTAAAAAGTCAACAAAAGTCAACTTATCAATGCTAATTGAATTAGGAATGAAAAGAACCTTCTAGAAGAATCTAGAAGACTAAAACCATTCCTAATTGCATTAGGAATGATAAATCCATATTAGGCCCTCCTCTAGATCATTGGGCCTCATATAAGGCTCAAACCAAGCCCAGTTTATTAATTTGGCCATAACTTCCTCAATATTCATCGGAATTGGGCTTATAATATATCGTTGGAAAGTTCTTTTCAAGCCCTATCCAACTACACTACTATCGGAACTATATCATGGACCAGCCAAGCTAGATTGTCTGTTTTCTTAAAATAGGTTTTCAAAAACAGAGAGAAAAGAAAATAAATTAAAACTATCCGCAACACTAGACTTTCCACACTTTCACTTCATTCGATTATGATTCGACGTGAAAGGTACTCATCACTGGGTTTGGTTTTGGGGAGACACAAATGGGTGTCTACAGCCAGCACCATCAGACTTAGGCTAATCAAACCAACCTTTAAGATATCCGTGAATCTCATAGAATCTACTTACATCATGCCCACATTTCTTGCAATGTGAGAAAACTCCAATAACCCAAGGCTTCATGACCGGGTCGCTGACATTTGGAACACACCGGTCTGTCAATCCCTCTACCATGCCCACGGCCAATACTTGTATTGGCGGTGAGGGCATTACCGACTACCTCTATTAGCTTCTCTTCAGGGACTACTTTGGCGAGTTTAACACGCTCTTCTTGGACGGCTAATTGATACGCTTTATCGATAGATGTCAGAGGTTCTTGAGAAAGTATGTTAGCACGTAATTGGGCATAATACTCAGAGTATAAACCCATTAAAAAATTGTGAATCTCAGTCATCTCTCGTCTTTTGGCATGCAATTCTCCTACAGTATAATTCAAGCAGCAAAAAAAGGAAATCAGGGGTTCGCGACGAAAATGTTTCTCCCACAAGGCATTCAATTGCCCATAATAATTTGAAATAAACGTGGATTTCGTTTGTTCACATTTCGCAATAGAGAATTTTAATTGATTAATTCGATGTCCATTAACGAGAGAAAAACGTTGTTGAAGATGTCCCAATGATTTTTTGCTTCGCGATAGACTTGACCTCTGGATCAATTGTGTTAGTTATCCAAGATACTAACTTAACGTTTATGGTGTTCCAGTCTGACTAAGTACAAGGGGGAGTTGGACTAGATATTTGTGCCATTCAAAAAATCAAACTTTTGTCGCGCCCATAATGCCATACGAATATCGGCAGCCCAGTCATCATAATTATCTTCCTTAAGGCGAGTCGGGGTTATAAAATCACCTGGTCAATCTTGCGAACGTAGGTAAAAACGGGGAATTTGGTTCAATTTCTGATGGTGATGGAGGTGGTGTTGGCATATCACTAGTAAAAAGTATGGCTCTGATACCATGTGAATAATAATCGAGAATATTTGCTTGAGTGTATTCATGGCTCTTGGCCGCGGTATATAATAGTGTACAAGATAATTATGGCAAGAATAATAAAAAAATTATGTACTTATCATACGTATGTATATCTTTAGCCAACTAAGTATCGTAACCGAAACATAATCATATCAGATCATATCATATCAAATCAAATCTTCCTCATATATCATAACAAGGATGCACAAGAAAGAACAAAGCTAGATAGTAGACAGTTAGAAGATAAAACCAATCAAACTATATGCATGTTAGAGCATCAACAATGGGAAGGAAGCTTATATCCTTTCCCAATTTCTCTCTCCTTTCCTCCACGTGACACATCACACTCTCTTTCTTCCACATCACTTCCCACTATCTCCATCTTTTTACTTATCTTCTTTCTTAAATATTTCCAACATCAATGAGTATCTTTTCCCATATACTCTCTCCTATTTACATATACCCGCCATATATTCTTTCTCCTATTTACACACTTAATTATTATTTTAGTTTGTAAAATATGTTTATTATTATTATTATTATTATTATTATTATTATTATTATTATTATTATTATTAATCGAACAAAAATACGTCAACTAATACATTTTCACATTAATATAAAAGATTAGTAAAATACGAAATACATGAATTAAAAGACATAAATTAAAAATATGAAATACATGGATGAAAATAAGCAACGAAAATAACACACATAATTTAAAATTATTAAAATGCTAATTTTCAACCGAGCTCCTTAACCTTGCCCATAAATGCTCAACCAAGTTGTTCTTTAATGCCTCATGAACTTGTCTATCGCGAATCTCGCCTCTTGAAGCTATCAATCTACTAAAATTATCAGGATCATACTGCCCAGGAGTTACAGTAAATGTTGTTGCATTTCTGGTTGAGGACGACCCTGGCATATTTTTAGGCTGTTCTTGAGCGAATTCAAGTGGATCTTTATAGTTTAAATATGTATCACGCTCGTCTTCAACTATCATGTTGTGGATGATGATGCAAGTCATCATGATTTTCCACATCAACTCTACACTCCATGCCAAAGCAGGCTTCCTAATTATTGTAAACCGAGCTTGTAACACACCAAATGCACGCTCAACATCCTTTATAGCACTCTCTTGACGTGTAGTGAACAATTTATCTTTTAAGGTTTGTGGGACTGCAATAGCGTCTATGAATGTCGACCATTTTGGATAAATCCCATCTGTGAGATAATATCCATTGTTGTAATTATTTCCGTTAAAAGTGAACAGAACTTGTGGAGCACGATTATTTATTACATCATCAAACACCGGAGAACGCTGAAGTACATTAATGTCGTTGCAAGATCCAGGCGTTCCAAATCCATAAATCCCTGGAAGCAATCGCTTCTAAAATAACAGTCGTCGTTTTAGATCTTCCTTGATACATTCCTTTCCATCCAGCTGGACAATTTTTCCAGACCCAATGCATGCAATCAATGCTGCCCAACATGCCAGGGAAACCTCTATCCTCCCCTTCTCTAAGGAGGCGTTGGATATCTTCCAATGTTGGCTTTGTGAAGGTACTCAATTGCAAAATGAGCAATTACTCCGTCGACAAACTGTGCAAGACATTCTCTAGCAGTGCTTTCACCGAGCTTCAGATACTCATCTACTTGATCAGCAGAACAACCATAAGCTAACATACGTATGGCTGCTGTGCATTCCTAAAGGGGTGAAGCACCAAGACGCATGGTAGCATCTGGGTGTTGTTGGAAGTAACGGTTAGTTGCACTTAATGTGTTGACAATGCGAAGGAAAAGGGGTCTTCGCATACAAAACCTCCTTCGAAATGTGGTTTCATCGTATACTGGTTGGTCACTAAAATAATCTGAAACTAAATTGTCGTGAGCTGCTTCACGATATCTCGGCACAGTTATTCTTCGTTTTCTTTGACGTTTATGTTCATTTTGCTGTACTGAATTGTTTACAGCTACAAGTACTGCATTTTGCATTACTTGTAATCGATGACTCTCGTTGATAAAATTCATGACCATTTGATCATAGATATCATCAGTTGAACTTGAAGACGAAGAAGAAGAACTTGAAGGGTTTGAATCGAAATTCATATTATATTTATTACCAAACAATATTTGAAATAAAAGGTTTTGGTTTTTTTTTTAAAAAAAATGCCAATGAGAAAATAAGGTTGATATTGAAAGATCCCAATGTTATTGGGAGTAATATTATGAATTTATAGATAAAAAATAGGATAAGGTTAGTCAGATGATAAGATTTCTCCCAAGGATATGTGGTCATAAAACAAAGGATGTCAGAAGATAAGATTTTGGTTAGATGAAATGTCATGGGTAGCAATCTTATACATTATCACAATAATATAAAGTAAAATTAACAGACTTGAACTCAATTTAGTAAACATAAAGTTCATATTAATACATAGAAATTACATTCATAATAAAAAGGTGCATTGACAATAATTCTGCGAAGTTACAATAATAACAAAACATACAACTCATAATCGTAATAACAAATCATGATTACTCGGTACAATCAGGTAAATTAAATCAAATCGAAAATCTACTACTGAATTCATCTCTAAGTTTCTTATACATTTCTAATTCAACTTCATCAAGAACGGGCTTCTGCATTAATATTTCTAACATTCTAAACTTCATGGCCTCGTTCTTTTGCCTTTTCTTTTCTTCAACTTGTGCTTTTTTAATTTCATCTCTTTCCTTCAACTGATCCAGAAGTCGTCCACCCAAATCATTCAACTTATCACCAACTTTGTTAAAATTTGTGTTTAACGCTTCAAGATTTATACTTGAAGTTGAAGTAGTAGATGCTTTACCTTTCATCTTTGTTTGTTTTATGCCAGCTGGTCTTTTACCTCTTCCTCTAACCTCAGATGGTGAATCAGGTTGTGATCTTTTACTGCTACCCCCACTTTCGGTTGACGTTTGTTGGCCACCGGGTAACGTAGTCGATTGATCTTTGGCCAAAGATGGATCCCATTTCGGATATTTTCTCAACTCCTCAAAACAGTGCAATAAACAGAACATCTTGTTGTTAGTTGCGTAGTAATCTTTGTGAGCAAATTTCTCCAAATTTTGCTCGGACTCACCACTACCCTTGGTTCGATAATGATACCCATATGCATCTACCCATTTACTACAATGTGAATTTATATGATCCCAGCGATTTTGCATAGATTTAATGTTTCTTACCTTTATTTCATCGGGGTTTTCCATTCTAGAACGTTCGTAGCGGTTATAGATGTCAACCCATAACCCACTTCTCTTTGTCTTGGTTCCTCTCACTACGTCACCCCCTGCGTTTATGTAGGCCGATACAAGTGCTTTGTCTTCAGCTATGCTCCATGATTGGTTTTTCCTTTGCCCGGTGGTGTTGACATTTTGTTCGGAAACAATTTCGACATCAACATCGTTAATGTCTTCTAGATGTTGCGCCCCCACTAATTGTTCCACATGTTCATCACCACTCTCCTCTATTGGAGTTGCATTGCTACCACCAAAACCTCCCAGTGATTGATCCATGTTCTGAGTGAAATGTTCAGAAATGGGAAAACCCAACATATTACCAAGAGATTGTTGAGATGACGAGCTACTTTGAGGAAAAGGGAAAGAAGGTTGACATTGTGGAATATTATTGACATTTATTGGTCTTAATTGACTATTAAACCATTGCAAAGCAGCTTGAAATTGAGGATTACTCAATAAATTTGGATCAAAAGGAGGATTATTTTGATTATATTGAAAGTTTAGATTATTTGGAAAATTCATATTATTCCCGTAATTTAAATTATTACGATCCATATTGAATGGTATTTGAAATTGGAAGTGAAATATTGGTCAAAAAAAAGAAATTAGCAGTAGAAGTGTTATGGAGAAAAAATGACTTGGAGATATGGAACAGAAAATATGAATTGGAAATATGGAGAGTGATTTCTAACTGAAAATGAAAGTTTGTTCAAATATGGACAAATTATACTCATTTTATAGAGAAAAATTTTTTATGACCGTTGGTGTTTTTAGTTTTCCCAAGTTACTGTTTACATAATATAGCTGTTATACAAAATTGAAGCAAAAAAAAATTCAAATGCAATAATATCATGACAAGTGTCATGAATTACCATTGCAATGCAATGAATTCATATGCATTGAATGTCAGCAAAGTTACCGTTGTGGCGGAAAATTCATCCAGATTTTGTAAAATATAGGACCCACTTTATGTCTTTACTTGCTCAATTTTGCACTTGGACCGAGGAAGTTATCCTTTCCATAGAAAGGAAGCAGTGTATTCCTTTGTGTAAAAGGATCCTACTTGATAAACCAACATTGGTAAGGATACCAAAAAGTATCCTAAAGTGGCTCTAAAAAGATTACAATCCTTGCCACTGCTGGTGCTTTAATATATATATATAATCTCATCGACCCATCAACCGTACTTTATATTATAAAATCCTCACTTTGATTGCCACCTTATGTTTTTTTTTTTTTCTCAAGTTACACCGAAACTAATGTTGCGATGGACCCGAAATGAAGTTAGTATTTACCTAACAGCATGTACCATTGTACATGGAGACTGTAGTTCAAATGCTTCCTTAATCTGGGAATTCTATTAGATAATTTATTCACAAGTGATTGGGTTGGCCTTTTTGGTGAGGCCCAAATGCAATGGGTTATTTGACAAGAAGTTCAATGCGAAGGTTGTAACAATAAGAACATGGTACTTGGGGTCTTTTGGGCTATGAATAAGCAGATAAAATAAAGCAAGGCACACATTGTAACAAGATAGTAGTAGCAGTGATAAAATTTGAAGATTCCTTCTTGCAATAATACATACCTAAAGTTGTACACTTACATAACATAGAAGAGTTAAATGAGCAACATTCCTTATTTTACTTATTTACAAAGTGGGTTGAGTGAGATATAATTTTAAAAAACAAACGAAAATGCATGGGTTAATAGTATACGTAATGGATGAATAGCACTAATTCGAGTTTATTTGATTTTACAATATACTTCCTTCGTCCTATAATATAGGTCACGTCTATGTTTTTTCACGATATTTGAGAAATAGGAGGAAAAAGTAGATAAAGTACAATGATAAAAATAATAAGTACAATTATAGACAAAAGTTAAAGAGAGAAAGTGGAAAAGGTACAAAGCATGTGCAAAATTAAAGAGTAAATTAGAAAATACAATGAATAAAGTTAAAAAAGTGATGGTATAATGATTTTTACATACGATCCAAAAATATAAATAGGAACAACATTTTAGTACTCCAAAATAGGAAAATATGAACTATTTATGGGACTAAGGGAGTATAAAAATAACAAAACATAGCAGATATTAGTCAATATATCTATTTTTTCTTGAATATAATGATAGAGTTATGAGAAAGAGAAAAGAGAATGGGATAAAGCTGGATTATATTGATGTGATTAAATGAGTACATAGTACATGAGTAAGCAATTAAATTACGACTAGATACATTTGAATATTTTTTGCTGAGCTAAAATTATTTCGAATGAAACAAAATTATATTTGCTGAACTTAAATTATTTTTACCGAACTTAAATTATTTTTACTCAACTGAAATTTTTTTTGCTGAATTGAAATTATTTTTTACTGATTTTCTATTATAATTCTTCTTTAAGAAAACTGAATTTTAATGAACTGAACTTATTTTTTTATTGAACTGAAATTAATTTTACTGAACTAAACTTATTTTTACTGAACTAAAATTATTTTTACTTAATATTATTTTTTTAAGGTGAAGAGAACAGGGCCTAACTGTAAGTGTATGTAAAGGATTCATCATTATCATTATTAGTTATTGTTTATATAAGGTGAAGAGAATGGGGCCTTAAATGTAAACTTTTTTTTTTTTTACTCATTTTATTATATTTACTTATCATTTGAAGAACTGTAAATGAACAAAACTGATAGTTATTGCAAAGAAACGCACACTTGATTACACCTATATGTACTTAAGAATAACTAAGAGTGCCTCAGAGCGTATAGCTGCTATGTATTTACAAAGCATATAAGAGGACAAAAATAAAAATTTGGCAAGCCTTTGAAAAAAAAAACTAACACTATAGTGGTACATTATAATGTACCATTAAAGTATAAGTTGTTTTAATAGTACTTTTTGTGTACTGTTATGCATGTAGTGATACTTTTTATCATAGGTTGAATACTTTCTATCAAAATACTTACCACCCATTGCCTATTATGCATGTAGTAGTACATTTTTCTATCCTATATGTTTGCTAACAAATAACAGCTAGGCACTAAAGGTTAACCATAGTGCAACTAGGTGCATAGTTGTTATTGGATTAAAATGGGATTCAAAATGAGAATTTGTTCGATGGAAAAAGAAGCAAAATGATTATTTGGGATACATATAGGATTATAGGAGGACTAATTGGTAAATTCAATTAATTTTTGTGATTTTTTTATTGCTACATTAGTATTTTTAATGTACTATTATACTGGCTTGTTCTGATTTATTGAACTGAGCTAAATTGAATTGATTGGATCTGAACTGTACTAAAATGAATTGTTTGTGAGAGAGGGAAATTAGGAGCTGAACTGAATTGAACTTATTGAAGCTGAATTGAATTGAACTGAACTAAAATTAAAGTGAAGAGAACAAACCCTTATAGTGGTATTTTTAATGTACTATATACATGTATTTTATACTATTAGAGTATAAGTTGTTTTAATAGTACTATTTATAACATTATAGGTAACAATGATACAATATTTATACCATTAGAAGAGGAAAAATAAAAAATTAACTCTTTTGTCTTATACTGTTATTTACTTATTAATAACAGTTATTTACTTATCATGTAAATAACAGTATGCACCAATACTTAACCGAATTTAAAGACGTCCAATCTGTATAATATTTGAGTGAAGTTGTTGGAAGACAAGGAATAGTATCTATATGTCGAATTCAAAACATAATGCCAGCAACGAAGTTGAGATGGTGGGTTAAGACCTACTCGTGTATAAAGTTTATGCAAAGAAGCAAAACATTACTGTCGGCTTAATTCACGTAGATACACCAC